TATTAAGTAACTATTGTCAACGTGACCAACAGCGTGTAGCTCCCATTGGTGACCTGCCATACAAAATTGTTATCAATGACAATGACAAGGCTTATTTATACGGCCATGGTTCAAGTGGAGCAACATGTGGATACGAGATAACATCAACCAGAGGCTAGACTAACATTTAGTCCCAGACATAAAGGTTTCTTATTTAAAAACATATATATATATATATATATGCAATAAATAATACAATCCTAATGGAGCCCAGAACAATGCTTATCTGGATCAAATCATTCTAGCTCGAGTTGGATTCTTTTTTTAGTTTCTTCTCTAGCGTCAAAGAGACTGACTAACCAGAGGCATGCTTCACCACGTATCAGCTGGAGTGACCTGCACAGACTTTGTTGAGTCACAAACTCACGAAATCTGACACTGTGCACGGACAGGGAGGTCGTTGAGTGTTGCCGTAGGACGAGCTGGGAATGAAATGATTTCATTTTGTTATAAAATTTAGTTTTAAAAATGGTTGTTACACAGTGTACATGATGATCAAACTTTAGATCGCAATGTCCATTTAAAGGTGAGGTGAGGTGAAATGGGGTTTAACGTCGCGTCCAAGATTATTGCACTTACATAGCGACGTGCATGCACGTGTGTGTGGGTGCTTGTACTAGTCCGGACTGATGCCGTTGTTACAGCGCTAACCCACTGAGATACCATACCGCAGTTTAACATGAATACCCCACTCAGACACAATACACTGACTCCGAGCCGACCAGTCCTTGTTTTAGCCCCTTAATGCCGAGCGCAGGGTAACAACCACCGTGGTGGCCATACTGGAAATCAGATTCAAACCTCTTGAACAACTTGGGGTGTCATCAGTGGTGATCGCCTCAATTGTCTGGGGGATAGAGTGTCTGTCTGAAGAGCAGAAGGTCGGTGGATGAATCCCCAGACGCGTCATACCACAAGACGTGGATTGATGGCGCTCAGGATTCAGGGGCTTAAACACGGAGTGTGGGCTCTGAGTCAGTATACTGTGTTTCAATGATGTGTCCGTGCTAAACTGGGGCATGGTATCTCAGTGGACTTGAACCATCAAACAGGCATAAGGCCGGACTAGTACAAGCAGCCACAGACATACACTCATGCACGTCGCTATAGTGCAACAATCATCAGTGCGACGTTAACAAACATACTTACTTAAATAGCACAGTTACCAGTGAGTGAGATAAAAATTATCGTCGCATCGGCATTATTTGTAGCCATATAGCGACTAGTTAACAAGATATAGTGACTGAAATCTAGTACACATATCTGATATATTAGAGTGAGTGAGTTAGAATTTAACGTCGCATCGGCATTATCGCAGCCTTATAGCGACGAGACCAAGTTAATATATTTACAATTTAGTCATTTATGCAAAGTTTTGTTTAAAAACAAGTTGTAAAATATATTTGAGCATACTATATTTAGAAACAATTCATGAAACATATTTGAGCATGGCAATTTTATATATAGAGTTTTAAAACACGGGCTATAGGCCACCAGTAACCAAAGCTAGGCAACCTCGCTGGGGATCATGGGGACTTACAGTACCTCCGCTTCCTGCTGATATATTAGAAGCTAGTAAAGATACACTCACACATATACTTTAATAATCTGAATTGGACACAGATAAGGAATGAATACAAACATATCGGTTGATGAATAAGACTATTCATATTTAGGAACCACACATACGTTAAATAGCTCCTATATATTTCAAAAAATAAGGCGACTTAACCCTGTCCATATCCAATAGAAATCTCTGCATAAAGCAGAGTCGATTTTACGATTCCGACTATATCATGAGCATGTGTTTATGAATCACTATCAAATAGTAATGATACGAGGTGTTCACGAACATGTGAGCGTACCCTGCCATACGAACACGCAAAGGCAGGTCAATTCTTCATAACATGGTACAAGTCAATATAGAGATTGCATCGGACATGATTTTTGTCACTGATGCGTCAAATTTGGAAATGTCCTCCACATGTCTACCATAAAACCTTTTAAAGCTTTACTGAGGGCACGAGTGTTGTAACCTTGGTCAAACAACTTCTGAGCAAGAGTCGTATGAAATCTTTGCAGAAAGAGCACACTCGATTGTATCTCAAAAATTGTGAAATGTAAATACCAAAGACTGGAGCTGTTGGAATATTGCTTGACATGAAGGGAAAGTTGACCTTGTAATACAGTCTTGTGGAGAGTGCTTTGTCACTCTGAATCTTTATGCATAGATCTAAATATGAATCAGATGAGGCGGTCTCACTGGTCTCCGTTCGCTCGTCACGCCGAAGACCCGGGTTCGATTCCCGACATGGGTACAATGTGTGAAGCCCATTTCTGGTGTCCCCCGCCGTGATATTGCTGGAATATTGCTAAAAGCGGCGTAAAACCATACTCACTCACTCACTCACTGGTCTCCTTTATTTCTAACGGGATCAGGTGGTCAGGCTTGGTTGATGCATGTCATCGATCCCAATTGCGTGGATCGATGCTCATGATATTTATCACTGGATTGTCTGGTCCAGACTCGATTATTTACATACCGCCGTCATATAGCTGGAATATTGCTGAGTGCGGCGTTAAGGAACAAACCAACCAACCAACCTTCATTGCTAGTTCAGGTGGATAAATCAGTAGAAGGTGAACCAGCTTTGCGAATGTCAACTGACAGTGTTTTTTAACACAACACAATACCTTAACACTACAACATGACCTAATATAAAATACCAAAGAGAACTGTTTAGTTCCACTTTTTTTTGTAAAAGTCAAAAATACTAAACTGTCAGTTTAACAAGCACACCAATGTCAAGCGGTTCTATACAGCCACACAAGCAGCTTGCATCAAACATCGTTATTCAGCTACAAGTTCAGGAACGCAAGTTTAACTGAAACGCACATCCATGCTTGACCTTTAAGAATTTGGTGAAGCCAAAGGTTTTCCGACCTTAACGTGTCTGATCTGATCTGTGTTTGTCTGTCCCTGTACAGGTGACTGACGATACACGCGTTATTTTCTCTTACCGCCATCTGTAAATATAGATTTGTAGGTACCATATCCACTTCTTAGCTGTTATATTTTTGTTGTTAGTCGATGTGTTTCAGACTTCTTTAATATTAAATTCTGTATATTGTACTTATTCTTGTTTATCATGTAATGGGTAGGTTTCTCGGCAGGATAAAGCCAACGGATAAAAACGATATCCGTTGGGGTCTTCTGCGGATAGAAATGCAAATATGAAAGGTCAAGTAGGGACTACTTTCACTGAGCATGGCGTCGCCCTTGTCATTCGGCGATCTAGTCAGAATTAACCATCATGAATCTGGATAAAGTACAGGGATAATTGCTATCATTATCAAAAGAATAGTCTAATATACTGAAAATCAGTGTCTAACTGTGACGTAGCTGAGGCATTTTATAAGTTTTGGCAACTTTGGAGATATAAATTTCGAAACAATTTTGCGAGGGCACGAGGCCTAGCCAAGCGGCATCAGTAGCCATATCTGTGCTTGTAGACCTCTGCAGCTTGAAACCTTCTCCACAAATTAAAAAAGTATGACTTGGCCGAAATATGTTTGAATTGTTACCTTGTTTTGTTTTGTTGGTGTGTGTAAATCTGACTACACTTCTTAACGTTATGACAGGACAGACCGACTTTCAACAACGTCTGACCGCGGCCGTGACGTCTCATAGACTAGGGTTAGAGTAGCTTCCCTAAAGGGCAGTTACTCTGGTGGACAGACCGATGGATTGCCACGAAAGGCAATTAAAGACAATTGTTGTTTTGCGTATATGTTGCTTCGCCACTGTATAAGAAAGAGATTTCAGTTGGAACTGTATTGGCATCACTTACCCTGTGACGTAATAAATATTAATGCGCGCATTCCAGGAAAACTCGCAATGTTTCGGTAATGTTTGTGAGAGAGGGAAAGCGATTTTGAAGCACAGAATTAAAGAATAACATGATATGATAAAGAGGTTATCACGCTTGTGTGTTTGGGGATGGTTAATATCCTGTATTAGGAATAAACGCTATGTATTTAGCTCGCCAAGGCTCCCTAAATACAATGTTTATTCCTAATGCAGGATATTTACCATCCCAAAACACACTCGCGTGATAACCTCTTTATATCGGGTATATAAAGCGGGTAGTGAAAACTACATCAATATGTTTCTTTAGGCATTGATCTAACCATAATAACTAATTGTAAATTATATGTTGAAATGGCATTTGTAAAGCTATCTGCTTATATTATGTCGGCGTATTCACTGACGTGTTCCTTCTAATCATGAGACGCCTAGTAAATCAGCTATACATAATTTTATTATCTGTTACTTTCAATGACATAGCCCTTCGAGTAACATGTACACGTAGATTGTTACAATCTTATTCAACATATCTGTATGTATGTCAATCATGTTCATATCTGGACAATAGTTAAACGCTACACATATATTCATATCTGGACGCAACCTCTATTGTCCAGGATATATACATTCTGTAGTGATAAATATCCTAGACCCATTCCCTACCACAGCTTCGTTTCGAACCACTTTTAAAATACACAACATGAACAGTAACCGTCCAATCAGCGTATACTGATGAGAGAGAATTCCTGTGCTTAGTGACAATCGCTTCTATGAAGAATGGGTCTATAATAGCCTGGATATACGACATATTGAAAAATGCAGTGAAAGACCATATCCATATAACGATATGTTTAGGTGTTTTTTTTAAATGATAGTGTTACTGTCATAAATGATAATGTGCAATTACATTTATTTGACAGTTTTGCTTCGAATCATATGCGTCTCATGTGCAGTTATACTATTTAATAAATACCTCAGTTACTCTGATCGCAAGTTTGTCGAAATGCGCATGTTTGTTATCTCAGACCTTCAAGGAGGTGCACAGTTACAATGTTCACCTGAGCGAGATTGTATTCAGTGTGTCGCTCGTGACCTAACTCGCCTATCTAACAACTACATCACACGACGCAATACGCCTCCCTGATCGCAACATATATGTAACTAACTGCGCACCAGTCCACGGAGACGGATCTTCAAGGTGAGAAACATAACTTGAAAAAGCTAGTTTAAGCTCTATTCATGTATTTTCTTATACAGTGATTGGTATAGTGCATAAATGAAACGTTCTGCACCCCTGAGGTGGCTATGTTAATAATGGACGGTACTTTTCATAAAGTAAGAGGTTTAAATACACTTAGCCAGGCCACACATAAAAGATTTGTACTTTGTTGTATTTCCTAAAAACGTTATTATGTTATAGCAATGAGTGAGTATACATCGTACCGGCAATATTTCCGCCATATAGCGATTGGAACAAGTTATTAAATATTAAATACCTGCCGACAAAGGAAGTAAAACAATTCTGAATATAAAACAAACTCAGTTTATTCATTCAGTTAAAACATTTGAAAACTCGGATTTTAGCGGGAAAACATTCGTTCAACAAATTACTTATGCTTAAGACTGTTAATAAAAAGAGATTCTGTCTGCCACAAAAAATATAGTGTGGCAAATTGCTTTATATTATTTTTTATTTAGGGTAATAGTATTTATTAAAAATATATACGGTTTTGCAGATGTAACTGCCATCAGGATCTTTATTATCACTCCAGTCACCAGTGGATGTGTGCAACATCGTATAACGCAAGAAAAACTCAAAACAGTTTAACATTAGTTGATAATAAATACCATCATTTCTGTCAAAATGAATTTTAGACTCTAATTTTAAAACTCAATTGACACCGTGGCAAGAAACATCGGTGTGCAAAATTTCATTTCTCTTACCTAAAAAGTTTTAGAGTAAGTTTTTCCCCATTAAGAAGCGGCTGGAAGGTCGAAGGTGTATATCCCCCGTTCAATTTCATGGAGGGGGCGAATAACATGTTCGCTGCCACGGTTAAAAAAATAATCCCCGTTGAGTGCAAAGTCCACACAGTCAAACAAGTATGTTTGACGGTCAACTTAAAATCAAAAAGGGATACATTTGGCAGATTCATCCTCATCATAAACACAACTCATGAATAAAACGTATATGACAATTCGACACAGTGTTAAAAGGACCTAATAAAAGGACCTCATAGCCTATTGTTGATTTAAAATCATAAAGTTTATTAATACGTACTTGGGTGTCCTACCTCGTCTGCATTAGATACATGATGTAGGTTTTAGCCAATGGTTTAAAATCAATGTAGTTGCAAGCGTATGAGTGCCACAGTCTTAAACAGAAACATCATCTACGTAGATGATACTTACATTTACGTAGATGATTCTTACATTTACGTAGGTGATACTTACATTTACGTAGGTGATACTTACATTTACGTAGATGATACTTACATTTACGTAGGTGATACTGACATTTACGTAGTTGATACTTACATTTACGTAGGTGATACTTACATTTACGTAGATGATACTTACATTTACGTAGATGATACGTAGATGATACTTACATTTACGTAGATGATACTTACATTTACGTAGGTGATACTTACATTTACGTAGATGATACTTACATTTACGTAGATGATACTTACATTTACGTAGATGATACTTACATTTACGTAGGTGATACTTACATTTACGTAGATGATACTTACATTTACGTAGGTGATACTTACATTTACGTAGATGATACTTACATTTACGAAGGTGACACCTTATTCTACGTAGATGATACTAAGGAAAAGGACAGAAGAAAATAAACAACCAGCATGCTCCAAATAAAATTAGCACTAAATGAAAAAATCACCTTTATTTAAAATATTAATGTTTGTATCGAACTTGGGTCACAACTGCACAAGCTAACATGACTGTCTGCGTAACGATACTTACGACTATAAATCACATACAGAGTTGAAAGTATCTTGTGCGTAGATGATCCCATGAAAGTATCATCTACGTATATGAAAGTATTATCTACGTAAATGATAACAATAATTAGACTGTGGCACTTATACCCTTCCATCAATGTTTCGGATAACATGTAGAGATATCGACAGGTCAAGTGCTCCTTCAGCTGCAGCATGAGCCATTGTGTTACCCACTATGACAATATGACCAGGCTACAACTCTTATAACAGCTATGCAGAATGTGTATGAGAGGGTCTTGACAATACAGTTGTCTATTTAGAACTTTATTTGCTGCACAATTTATCATAATAATAATATGACCACTTGTAATGCACTGAACTCCATGCAATTAAGCATGTTGATTCCGGATAAGAATATCGGTCCCCAGCAACCTATGCTAGTCGTATTTATGAGAATGATACACAGTGATATGTACTTAGATCATGGGGATGTTGTGTCGAGAGCTTCGTGTTTAGACCCTTAACGCGGTTACATACATTACACCAAATATGTATTCCATTTACGAGGATTTTAACACATTCCTCAACATGTCTTGTATTTGTTTACATTCCAAATACATTTGTTTACAGCGCAGCGTGGCTATTGTAAAGATAGGGTGATAAAGCTCGAAATAAGCAGAAATAATGACCCCCACTTGTATTTTGTATGGGGTAATTTCATTAACCCTCTGGATGCCACAGGAACATATATGTCCCACCCCCTTAACTCACACTTTGTGAAGTTGAAGAAAACTCAAATGGGGGGGGGGGGGGGGGGGGGGGGGGGTGCACGGTGGACCTATGTAGCCCATGGCCTAGTGGTGGTGCAGTCAAGTGTGGTGATTGGTAGAACAATGGGATTAGGTGGGGTTTGTATCAAACATTGTGCATGCTACATCAAACACTTGAAAAAGATGTTATTTTTATTTGGACATAAGTGGTGACATATGTACATTATGTAACATTTTTAAAAACAACAACACTGACACTTCAAGAAATAACTAGAAATTACCTTTTTACTTGGACGTAATTTGTGACATTTGTACATTTGCTACATTTGTTACATTATGTAAAAATAACAGTATGGAGTTGCCTGAAACAATCGATCATGTAGAGTCCCGTCACAAACACATGCAAAGGCAAGTCACTTGTCTTCCAAAAACGCGGTCAAAATCCATCGGTCTACCTATCAAACTAATATTAAAAAGCGAGTGAATGAGAGTTTAACGCCGTTTTGAACAGTATTCCAGTTATATCAACGCCTGTCAGCTTGACGTGATGCATGTCTTAGACGTTTACCATTTTGGTGAAAACCCCGAGCATGGGTATGATGTTGACGGGCGAACCGGGATTCGAACACATAGGTTTCTGATGTGTCCAAGGAACGCAACTCTGCATAGCGAATTGCGGTACCTCAGACTGAGCCACCCATGCCCCAGATTTAAATCGAGTAAGGGAACATTCCTATGTATAAATCATGAAGGAAAACATTCCAAATATCTCCAGCAAATGTGGTTATTTAAAAAAAAAGAAGTTGTGTCTCAAGTTACTAAACATTTAATTTAAAACGTGAAACATAAACTGTAAACCTTTCTTGAAAACTTTCTGCAAAATTAGTATGAAGGGCAGTGTTTCACCTTGCACGTAAAGCAACTGTTCAGTTTGATAATGTTAAACAACCAAACAAGTGAGAAGAGTCTTATTGTAACAGAGGTTATATCACAAGTGAACACGATGAGGTCTTCTTTAAGTGAATATTTGATCACAGTTTATATTTGATCACTTTTATTTCATGCTGCAATACATTCAATGTTTAAGTTGTAATGAGGTTCCACTGAAGTAATAATTAAAACTATAAATGTAAATATGTTATCCTGATGAATTGAATGGTGTTTCTGATAATCTGCAAATGTTCACTGGCTTATGAAGATCAACAGTACAGTGACAGTCGGTCATATTTGAACACTTTATCATCATTAAGTAGTATATCCAAACGTGCACTGTTTTTAAGAAAAGTACAAGTACTTCCAGTTTTGTATCACGTCAATCCGGTTTACTTCATGTTACATTTAAACTGATTACAGTAAGTCCCATGGTTCTAGCTCTTTGTGCAACAAAGTGATTTGTATATCCAGTTCGGATTAACTAACTTCTGGTTTCAGAAAAAAATTCTTCCTGCATTCAAAAGGAAGTGCCATGGTTCTAGTTCAACTTGAAGGGAAGTGATTGGTACTTATAGGTGGATTTTGTCTCTAAATGAGGAAACATTATATGAATGGATAATTGGAAATAAATGTTGACACCAAGTGTTCATAAAAAAGATAACAGGCTCTATCATATTCAAATATATCGTACCACTGTCACGTTTATTATGCGGTCGCGTCATCCCAAAAGTCGTTAAGAGATTGTACTCTAAGGGACTAAAACAAAGACTGGTCGGTTCAGAGTCAGTTCATGGTGTGTGAGTGGGTTTCAATGTTAAAACTGTGGCATGGTATCTCAGGAGACTAGCACAAAAAACGGCATAAGTCCGGACTAGTACAAGCAGTGTGCATGCACGTCGCTATATACGTGCAGAATTTTTTAAGGGAGTGAGTGAGTTGGGTTTAACGCCGCTTTTAACAGTATTCCAGTTATATCGTGACGTGTCAGCTTAATGTGGGAGGAAAGCCCGAAGTGATGCAGGTCTCAGACGTTTACCACTTCGGTGAAACCAACGAGCACGGGTATGGTGCTGACAAACCTAGAAACATAATCGGGGCGAACCGGGATTCGAACCAACAATCATAAGTTTCTGGCGTGCCCAAGGGACGCAACTCTGCACAGCGAATCGCAGCGCCTTAGACGACTGGGCCACCCGTGCCCCCGCAGAATTTTTTAACTTTCCTTTACTCCAACCTACTTTACAAGTACTTTACTTTATATCTTGCCGTCTTTGGGTTCTCCCTCAGAAACAAACCCTACCCTCATTTGAATCAGAGCCCAACTTGGGACATTTACTTTGACAAATGTCTAAATAACACAGGCACTAGTCAATGGCTTGTCTGTTATACACGTGCAAAGTTTGGTCCAGAAATACAGCACGGGTTACGCTCTGCAAGCAATAAGTATACCATTCATTTGTATCTAAGCCCAATTTGTTGTCATGGAACCCGGAATTCATTTTTCAAAAATATCTCAATAGAAAAAAGGCACTATTTTATGACCAGACTGATATCTGTGCAGAGTTTGCTCAAGAAGAATTGAACGGTCTTTGAGTGACGGAAGCCATAAGTAACTGACGGGTCAAAGTGACGGGACTTTGGCATGGGATAATCAGTGTTTTTATCTGCCCTTGGCATTTGGTTTTTGAGGGGTATCTGTTACTTAACAATCTACATAAACACTTTTTTTTTACATAACAATACTACGTTTTCAGTGTAGGGCCAGGTTACCTGTATATTTACCAGCGCTAATTGAACGTGCAGAGTGACGTTAATTTAGCGCGGTTAAATCTACAGGTATTCTAGCTCGATATTCAAAACACAGTATGTTTATCTTCTTTCTACCGTGACTAATTAAAACGGGAACTCTTTGGAGTTAACAAATATATGGAGCGAAGTGGCATGGCTTGAGTCAATAGTTTTGAGTAGGGGTTCGATCTGTGTGTCGGACTAAAGCCTTTTAACAAAAAACAATGCGCTTTATATGCTCAAGCTGTTTGTTTACACCATAATACTTCACTCGAATATACTTTGTAACTTTGTAAGCTGACATGAGGTGGGCGCCGAAAGTCCTACGATAGGAATTCTTCAATAACTATATGTACAATTAAAGGTTACAAAATGCAAAGGTGCGGTTATAATAATATTCAAAAGTTGGTTTGTTGTTTCCTATTCAAAGGTTAAGAAACAACAAACCAACCTTTTTGTAACCTTTAATTGTACATATAGTTATTTAAGTATGCCTACCGAAGGACTATTTTATGAATATTAGCTGACGCAGTGATGCGGCCCTCAAATCAGCTGTTTCAATCAGAAGGGGTTTATTTTGTTCATGATAGTATGTGATGTTTGTAAAATGCCAATTTGTCGTAGTGACTATTAGAATCTGTTTCATTGACATGCTGTTTCATTTCGTTTGTCACTATAATATTACTCAGTTATAAAGAATCGACTACTTTGGGTCAACCCTTAATGAGTCAATCCTTAAGTTTCCAGGATGTCATACCACGGCGGATATATACAAGGAAATAATGGCAGAGCATGGCAGAATGGATAGAAAGTAAGTATTATCTGATCAAACATAATTTAACTGCACTTGTATCTTAGGAGTATGTAGTGTAAGCTTCCAATCAGATGTCATGGTCAGTAATTAACACAACTGTATCCTTCAGGCCACGACCATATATGACCACCACATGTGAATGTGAATTGTAGTTCTATGGCATCTAATTGGAACCAGTTCTTAGGTTGTGATGTGATTTTCCCAGTTACTGTTGATGGCACTTTTTAAGTGACATTTAAGTGACATTGCACATCATAAAGATGCTCAGATAAATAACCATTCAAAATACACATTACTTCACATGTGTGGAGGTGATATGTAAATCGCTTTGTTTATTCCATCTTATTTCCGAACAGGTTGCTGTGACTGTGACGAGGTAGCAACAGCCTTCTCCCTTTGTCGTAATGGAGCCTATATGTTCTTGATACACCTGGATGTTAATCTATTTTCTTCTAAGTTGAAACATAACGAGATAAAAAAGAGAAAGTTGAAAGAAATTGAGAAGAAGGTATCAGCATTACGAAATACCTCAGGGGGAGAGATCCTTGTTCATCTGTTTGGTCAAGACCCAAGAGACAGGTACCTTGGACACTTTGACAGCTTCACAGACTCCTGCCTAAAGATTTTAATCCCTGACGGAAAACTGTTTACTGACGTTTATAAACGTGAGTGGTTGTGTGATGTTATTTCCGGTGCTGAAAGTATTCCCGTACTTCTCCTTACTGTAGAAAAATCAAAGTTTGTGACTACAGTACATTTTTACACAAAAGTCTCATCGGACTGTATGATTGAAAATGTGTCCACCATTGTGTTTGTCTCACTCCTGTCTAGAAAGGTGAACACAGCAGTGACAGAACCAAAACTAAGAGGAATTCGCAACTTCAAGGAACGACTGCATGAAAACAGAAACATTGAACTTAAAAGTGTGTTTTTGAAGAAAGATCGATCATTTCGTGACATTTCCTCAGTTGTTGATTACATCTGGAAAGATCTGAGATTCAGAGAATATCTATGTTCCATGTCAAAACTTGAGAGTGGAGGTTCTTACTTCGTCGGAATAAATGAAAAAAACGGAGGGGGGACTTACGAATCCAGGGATATAAATCCCAATGGTTTTCCCTGCACCTGGAGTGTTGACGAGTTCAAAAAGTCTTTGGAAGTAAAATTACAGTGTGACGCTGCCTATCAAGATCCGAAAGGCACTCTGACTCCAGTCCCTGCCAGCATCATCAAGGTCGCACTGTACAACTCTCCTGTGCAGCCAAGTGCTAAAGTCCTAGAAATTGCAGTCGGGTATGCTGAGGGTATTGTATTTTATAATAAAAAGGGCCCTGAAACCTACACCATTGACAAGGACGGAAACATTCGTAGAATGGAACATTGTGAATGGTTGGAGAAAATAAAGGCCTTTACCATAGTTAATATACAGTAGCAGTGTTTTGAACAACATGTCTTTCGAAGGCAGTGATGCGTCATCATTTTCGCGTACTTCGTCTTTCTCTGACCAAGAATTCAAAGCTTTTGATTGCGTTGCATTGGATTCCACCTGTGCTTCTTTGGGTAAGAATGATTGGCTTTTTAATTGCTTTTTAAATTAGGTTGAAAGTCCAACTTCGTGTTTTATATGTTTACGATTGATAAAAAACATTTCAAATTCCACAAAATCGCATTCGCAGGAATCACAAGGGTGACCGTTATAATGCAAAACAGAGTGAGTGATAGGAAGGAACATTTTGAATTCTTGACATCTTAAATTCAGCAGCACTTAGTTTGTATGTTGTCATTGCTTTATATCAATCTTGTGAGACAGAAAGTGAGCGAGCGAGTTAAAGTTTAACGTCACATCGGCAATATTTCAACCATATCGTGACAAGACAAAATTTGACATTTATAATACATATTTAATTAATATGATAAATATATAAATTATATTAGCATTCAACACAATGATAAAAGAGGCTATAGATCGCCACACTGGGGACCATGGGAACTTACACTTCTTTGACTACCTGCATGGACTCCAGCAGGATTTATATCATCCCTTCAGCTGTTGGTGACAAATTTAGCCAAACATTAAAACAACACATATCTTCCATTTCATAAACGTGGCAGAAATAAATATACACTGACGTGGTCTTACATACCCCCTCAGGGGGACATTAATGTTACTCTACTTCAACCCCTTTCGAGGATACAGCCACTAACGATCTCAGGTATTAATTTCATTCAACCAATTATAAAAAAAACTGGTTATATACAAAACATATCAATCAATTTATGTAATTACTCAATTTCCTTTAAAAACGAAGATTAAATGAGAACTAAGATTTAAAAGATATCCTTGAAGAATGACACTTATGAAATAGTTATCTTGTTTGATTGAAAAATAAATACAGTCAAAGAGGAAGGGATGTAAACGGAGGATCCTCACCTTTCATCAAAAATATTCGTGTGTATATCTGCTGTGACTAATATGACATCATCGCATAATGACCTCTTCAAATCTGGAATGACAGCCCAAGTAGGTGTAAACGATATTTGGTTTAATTTATGGATACCTTCCTGGGTGTCCCACTTCTTTTGCCTCAGATCTCGGATGTAACACCTAATAGCAGGCTTATAATCACTCTATGGGATGGGAAGTGGTGTCACAGATTTGTTGAGTGCTGCTTTTGCAGCAGCATCAGCCATTGTGTTACCAATCATGCTAACATGGCTGGGTCACAAACAAAAGACGATGTCTTATTGACCAGTAACAAGATCTTTAAATATTTCAAGAATTTATATATTCAAAGTGGATGTTTGAATGACATATTTTTAATTGCCTGAAGGCATGAAAGAGAATCTGAAAAAATAATGAACTGTTTATATTTAGATGGGTTGTTGATATATTTTAGTGCGGTAAAAATGGCGTTCGCTTCTGCTGTAAAGATGGAACTGTTATCTAGTAATCGTGAAGATATTGTTCTGTATCCAATGACAGTAGCACTAGTAACAGCACAACCATCCTTGGATCCATCAGTAAATATAAATTAATAAGTGTCATAAGTGTTTCTTAATTGATTGTATTCTTGTTTGGTAGATTAGTTGATTCTTTGATCTGATTCTTTGTTTTGGTTAATGTGAGGTCTACCTCTGGCCTTACCATTTGCCAATGAGTTGATAAAAACAGTTTAATATTAGCAGCAGGTATGGCAGACTGGATTCTGATTCCAAGTGGTGGAATAAGAGATGATCTTTTATTGTAAATATCTTCGTAAAGAGCGTTAAAGACGCAATTAAAAGCTGGATTTGGCTGATTCGAGTATAATTTAGTGACTATTGTAAAGATAATTTCAGACGGCGTTGTTTAAGAGAAGATTCATCCGCTTCTACATGCAGACTTTGAATGTGAGAAGTTCTAAAGGCTCGAAGGCAAATCCTCAGGCCCTGATGATGGATATTATCTAGGTTGTTTAGATTACTTTTGCAGGCTCCACCATAGACGAAGGAGCCGTTATCGAGTTTTGAAAGGATGAGTGACCTGTACATGTATAAGAGGGTTGTTTAATCCCCTCCCCACTTTGAATTAGAAACTACTTTCAATAATCGAGTGCCTTCAGACATTTAGCTTTAAGGTAATTCATATGTTGAAGGAAAGTTAAATGGCTATCGAAAATAAGGCCCAAGAACTTGGCCTCCTTTACAACTTTGATAGTGGTGCCATTTAAAAATAGTTCAGGGTCCTTATGGACAGAAATGTAGACAGTTAGGTTTTTTTTTGAAATTGTGGACCCGTTTTCAAGGGACCATTAATGAATTTTATTGAGACAGATTTGTAACTGCCTCTCTATGGTATGCATATTTTTTACACGACAAGATAGATCATCCACAAAAAGTGATCTATCTACTGAATCACTTAAAACCTTTGAAAGACTATATATTTTTATAGTGAAAGTGACAGACAAAATACTGCCTTGGGGACACCCTGTTCCTGGTAATAATGATTAGACAGGGTAGAACCCACGCGGACCTGAAATTATCTGTCAGTTAAAAACTTGGCTTAAAATTGAGGCAAACGACCGCGCAATCCAAAATCATGTAATTCATTAAAAATCCTATGTTTCCACATTGTGGCATACGTCTGTTATAAATCCAAAAAGATAGACACTGCATGCATCTTTTAACAAATGACTCTAACCAAACTAAATGGTCAACAGCAGTTCGATTCTTTCGAAAGTCACACTGAATATTTGTAATTAAATTATTTGATTCCGAGTACCTTGTTAATCTATTGTTGGCCAAGTGTTCCATGATTTTGAAAACGCAACTGGTCAATGAAACGGGTCCATTATTTAAGGGATCACTGTGATCCTGTCAAGGTTTCGGTATGGGTACAACTGTGGCATCCCATCAAGAAGAAGAAAATTTACCTGATGTCCATATACCCAAATTAACAAAAGGGTTTCTAAACACGGTTCTGGTCAGAGCTTCAGGAGTTGATAGTGTATTACCAGCTCCTGTAGCAGTATCATGAGCTTGACAAAGAGCAGTATGAAGTTCATGGATCGAAAATATTTCATCATAATCTTCACCACTATCTGATTTAAAATTAATAGTTTTCTTTTCTTGCTGTTTTCGGAATTGAGGGACATAATCTAAGGAAGAAGAATGTTTTGCAAACGTTTCACAGAGTTTATTTGCAATATCCGTTTTATTAGTTATTAGTTCATCCCCAGATGGTGGATGCTAGGTTTATAACCCTTACCTTTAATTTTCTGTTTTGTTTTAAACATATTTTATTGACATATATGGTAAACGGGATTGGGCAAAAGTTATCCAACTTAGGTGGCCCTTTCCCTACTCTATATGTACAGACATTGATTATACATATATATACACATATACGTACACACATACATATACATACGTATACAGAAATACAAACATATACACATAATCATATATACACACAATCATACATACTCATACATACATACACATACTGAAATACATATGCACATATTACATTTATAGTAACAAAGAGAAATATATTTACACAAGAACATAAACATAATGTTTGCAAGAATAACATAGACATGCATAAGAATTGCCTATAGACACAGTTTACTTGTATATACACATTAATCCAAAATACATGCAAGACTACATATATAATTACACAATCACTTAGGTACATGTACACATATGCTTACATACACACACTACATGTACATACATACACATATACCCTTGAATACGCATGCATACATATATATACATACACATATTTACACACATACACCAGAATATATATACCCGTAAACATTATGTTTACAGAAGGAGGTAGATATACACATGTATTCATATACATGCATGCAGTTTATTCACTGATGGCGTAATTAATAATAAATGGTCGCAGAGCGATTTTCTGTATTAATGATAAAGGGTTACTCGAATCTATTAGTCGACAGTATATATTTTTGAACGCTGTTGAAGACGAGGTTATTGTGACTTTCAGATAGGGATACATCACCGTAGAGAATATTTTGTATTGTACATGTAGTTCCAGCTTTTATTATGTTAGCAAACATGATATTTCTCGGAATAGTGTAATTGAGACATTCAAGAAAAAAGTGTATGTTGTTTTCACATGGGTTTCCACAAGAGCAGGACAAAGTATCAGATACATTTACTTTAAAGAGGTCTGCATTTAGGGAACTGCAAGAATGCCTTAGGCGTGTATGTAAAATATTAGCTCTACGGTTGCCGATTGAGAAGTATGGAGGTGGAGCTGTAATGGTTGTTTTAATCATATGTTTAAAATTTGATAATGATATTGCACTTCTGTCTTCAGGGGGTAACTCATTCCATAATTTGATTGAAGAAGGTATAAATGATTGTTGGTATGTAACTGTTCGTGCTTGCGGCAAATTCAGATTATTCTGATTTCGTAACTCATATCTACTAAAAGTTGATACTTTGGGTGGTAACATGTCATGTAAATACGATGGGCATAGGTTATTAACAATACTGTAGATTGTACAAAGTTTTTTATTTGACCTTCTATAAGATAGTGATTCCCATCCTGTCTCAAAATATAAACTCGATCTTGAGGAGAATTTAGGGAGACCTGTTACTATGTGAGTGGCTTCGAGTTGAATCATTTCAAGTTTTTCGGAATTTTCATGACTGCAGTTGTCCCATACCTCTGAAGCATATTCTAATATAGGCCTTATGAAAACAAGATAGACTTTGGACAGGGTTTGTCTATCAAGTTAATATTTCACGGTTCTTAACGAACAAATCATTTTGGAAGCTGAGCGGCAAATGTTATCAACGTGAGTTGTCCACTTCATATCATGGGAGAGAGTAACGCCCAGATGTTTGTGCGAGATAGATGCGCTAAGTGCGGTATTGTTATAAATAATATCTGCAGTGCGGTTTTTACAATGAGTGAACAGAATAAATGTTGTCTTGTCCGGGTTAAACTTAACTAGCCATCTATTGGCCCAGGTATTGAGAAGCTCTAGATCACTGTTTAATCTATGTTCTATCATTTGTAAGTATCGTCTGCAAAA